ATAAAATATTTACAAACATGTGAGGGGTGTACTCACTTCTGTGAGATACTGTGTATATATATATATATCAAATTATTTTTTTTTACTTCTGTTTGTGTCATACTACACAGTAGTGACAATTAATTTTCATTGACACCAGCACACTTAACCCCATACAGGCCAGCCAGTGATAAATGGTGTTACTGCAGATTCAGTTTCATTAGTGATAATTAAATGCATTTTGCAGTACATAGGTGCTATGTTTAAAACATTTAAGAGCAGAGACAATATGAAAATGATTAAACCGTGCATGGTTATTCTTGTTCACAGTGCATATTTTTCATATTATTACATGAAATAAAGGCAATTAAGGCTGTACTAGAGATTTACTTTTATGAGTATTTAACATTTCTAGAGCATCTGGAAATTTCTATAAACTTACGTACACCAGTGTTTGGTTCCAAAGCTCTCTACCCAGGATGTTTTGTTTATAGGATAGTCTTTTGCAAGCAACATTATTTGCGCCTTCATGTACCATCAGCAATTAACCATTTTGTAACTGAGAATTCACTATGAAAAATACGTTTCTTCTCACTGGGGCTGTCGGTTTCATTGCTGCTGGGTAGACTATGCAGATGGTGTTTGTATGTTCTCCCTATGTTTGTGTGAGTTTCCTCCAGTCCTCAAGTTGGGCAGGCACCCATGACTAGAGTGTGGGGCCTTGTGGGATGGTGGAACATAGCCACGGAACAAGGTGTACCTTCGGTCGAATGATGTGTTTTGACATTTTCTTCAGTAAAGACGTTAAACTCCAGTTACCGTGTCTGGCTTTTGTTGGTGTCGAACAAGTACAAATGAGAAGCTGGATTATCAGTAGATGGATCAGACTGAGATAAGGCACAGTGGCTCTGGTGAGGCCGCTCTTGACAAAAACAGCGTGTCCTTCAAACAGGGGTCCAGATTTGAAGATTTGTGCACAAAGTCCATTGAAAGTGCCAAATGAAAGGTCAGAGAGCTGCAAAAGTTTTAAATAATAACACTGATTCACAAAACGAAAACACAGGAAAGCCCAGCACATTTTGGGGCCAAAAACTGTCCCTCCTCTTCAGGGCTTAGTTGTTATGAGTAGTTAAAATGACATCAGATGGTATAATACCAGGATAAATTGTACAATGCACAAGGTTACAATAAAACAGTTGCATTCTGACACTTCCCTACTCTATCCAAAACTGACCATTTTGTTGCTCAAAGCTAAGTGTGACAAAACACTGAAGACAAGGAATCCCATTCCTTTCTATGACCCCTGTTAACACCTTAGTGTTTTGTTGCAAGCAGAAAAACTTCTGTTGCTGGAAAAGGTACATGAGCGACTTTTTGGCAGATTACAGTGCTTTTTGGTCCTATAGACTTCAAAAAAAGGTCCTATAGACCTGAAAATGCACGTTTCAATCGTTTTTGTGTGTTTTGTCCCATGTTTTGTCGAACAAAGTTTCCCATTGAAGCCTATGGGACCAAAAAGTGCTGTAATCTGCCAGAATGTAGCTTACACACTTTTTCCAGTGACAGGAGTTTTTCTGCCTGTGACAAAACACTCAGGTGTGAACAGGGGCCATAGAAATGAATGAGATTCCTTGCCTCGAGTGTTTTGTCACGCTTACCTTTGAGCAACAAAACATCTAGGTGTGAACAGGGACTAAAGGTTTATCTGTTTACCAATGCTTATTATAATGTGAGGGGAATTTATCAAAACTGGAGCAGACAAAATCTGGAACAGCTTATCTCTTCAGTTTGTTAACTGACTAAGATTTGAAAATGAAAGAGAGAAGCTGATTGGTTGCCATGCACAGTTGCTCTAGATATTGTCTGCTCCAGGTTTGATAAATTCCCCTCAGTATGTTGTCTAACAATACCTCTAATGTAATCACCTAACAACCTGCACTTTACTTGAAACTCCTCACCACATCTATTGAATGTTTAGATTTTCTTCACATGTTACTACTCAGTGTAAACTTTACTACCTAAATGCTCTTTTGCATTGCATTTTTCGTGGTAAATTTTGTAGTATTGTTTTATCTCTGGTGTTGATCATTATAAGTGTTTGTAAGAAATCTGTATTACAATTGTTCACACTCAAAATATGTCTCACTTTCCCATGTCATTATGATGGGTGTTATGTATAGTATATAATACAACAAAATATGTTTAAACTGTATAACAATAAAATTGCAAGACAAAACTTGCTTAAAGGTGAACTCCAGGGAAATTTCAAATCTACCCTTGCTGTGGGGCTTCCTGTGGTCAGGAGCAACGTTTTAGCCAATCAGGTCTCACAAGGCACAGCGCCTTGCAGGGAATTTGGCAGACGAGCAGCCCGCCCGAATGCCCTGACAGTTCGCGTGTTCGCCGAACACACAAACTGCCGATGTTCCAGTCGAACTCACGTTCGGCTCCAACATCGAGCCCATCACTACTTAGGTACAATTAAAAGTCAGTTTTTCTTTCCTGTAAAGTAAGTTTTGAATTTTCCCCAAGGTTCAGCTTTACAGTAAACCTATCATAACAGATATAGAGTATATTTTAATTTCTGTGAAAAGTAATTACAAGGCTGTCATGATGATACTTTTGTTTAATATCTTCAGAGTAACTGACTTGAAACAGTTCTAAAGATTTAAAAAATTCCAACTTTTTTGTGAAATTCAACCCCTTCAGTGCCAAGCCGTTTGCTGAAAACACAGTCGAATAAAAAGGCGGTGCTACTAATTTTGTAGGTCCTGTGATAATTGTGCAAATTTCTATCAAATCAATATTAAACTGATAAAAAGAAACAATTAAATTGATAAAGCACACCAAAATCAGTATCAGTGCATTAGAATCGTCCTCCAAGTTCTGCTTCTTGAAAACTGAAGAATTGTGTCCTGGAAATGAAAACCCTGATTCCGGAGGAAAGCTTGGAGATGTGCCACCATATTTAGAGTTTAGTATAAACACTCTTTTCTTGCAGCTTTTTAAGGAGGTGCACTAAAACTAAGTTACTGGGAGTGTAGATGTAGAGAAGAATGTCTTAAAGTGCACCAGTACTCAGAGACAACTTAAAATGACACTAAACTCAGGAGTTAAATCTCAAAAATGCATTCAAGTACCTTAAAGTAGTATTCAAGACTGGACGTTTTTTACCTAAATGCATTGCGTCCATTAAGGTAAAAACCACCCAGTAGTAAAGAAAAATCTGCGCTAATAGAATAAAGGAAGGAAACGGACTTGCTAAAGATGCTGAACTCAGGTGGTAAGACCTTTAATAATCAGTAAACAAAAGGAACAGCGCTAATAACCTCTCCGTGGAAACCAAAATGCATAACATTATGAAAATATCGGTGTCTGTGCAAACATTTTTTATTTTAACAAACATCATCAAAGTAAAAATTCGTAACCTTCTCGTATAAAACTTTACAACCTTTTCATTAAAGTGTCACAGTATGAATATAAGTGTATATAAATAGCAATCATTAAACCATGATATTCACAGGATACACCAGGTGAATAGATGACATAAGGTGCCCATACACTGCACGATTCTCGTATGAGAATTGCGGGAAATCCTGCGATCGTACGAGAATCTAAGGTCTTGCGATGGTTGTAAAGTGTATGGCCAACTTATTCCAAAGTGATAACAGATTTCTTTCAATGTAAAACAAAGTGACAAAGTTGTTTTCAAGTGGAAAAAAAAGTGAAAAAATATTGTTTCTTTCCAAATATTAAGTGCAAAAAAGGGTAACAAAGAAAAACTTCAAGTGAAACAAATGTTCCAAATTTGGTGCTCCTTAATGTGTTCAGCAGGAAGGATCCCCAATAGGGTATGCACTCACCGCAAGGTAGGACTGTATGAGAACAGCCAGCACACGCTTTGGTTCAAACGGAGTGGTAACCGGCGTCCTCCGAACCCGTATTAATCCGGTGTTTAACTCCAATAAGCAGCCATGATAAAAAAGAACAAGACCCTCATGGTATAGTACGCAAAGATTTATTTTAGACAAAAAAGCAGCAAACACTTACATTTAAAATAGTAACAGCCGGCCAGCTACCGTGTCTTCCCAGACCAAGACTGAGAGTGTGACTTCAAAGAAGACCCGCCCCCGCCGTGTTTCGTCACCTGGACGTTGTCAAGGGATGGCAGGAAGCCAGGTGGCGAGTTGTTACACTCCGTCTGGCTTCCTTAATGGGACTTCCGGTATCGGTATTCGGTATCAGCGAGTACCAAAAAAAGAGATATTGGTACTCATACTCGATACCGACAAACTGGTATCTGTGCATCCCTATACAGGATAATCCCAATTTCTAAATAAAGTGGTATGTGCCTCACTGACTCTATACACAGTTTGTCCTTAATTTTTTTTTATAATAATCTTTAGTAACAATTTTTTTCCCCCTCACAAAACAAACACATAAAAATCCTATGCAAATATGAAAGTATAACAATATTTTGAAGAAAGAGAAAAAAAAACAACACATATCTTTATATATTCAAACATCATCTAATAGAGTGTTTTTACGTCATTTTCAGGCCTAAAATGTGGAATATAACATGGGTGCAAAAATTGAAAAAAGGGCCTCAGTCATGAAGGGGTTAAATACAAATATTTTTAGTGTCACCACACAAAGTCATGCATTTTCATGCTTGTCTCAGTGCATGCTGCTATTGACCCTGCCCCCTACTCTGCCCTCTGCCCCTTATTTGCTAGAACAAAGGTGACAACCCTTGCCAAAGCTCCTAACCCTTGTATGGAACACTGTATATCTATAAACATAACATAAAATGCAAGTTCAACGTTTACATACAAGGAAAAGAAAATGAATTAACATATGTGCCTTTTAACTACCCTAACTCATTCTGGCAAAAAAAAAAAAAAAAGAGACAAACTTTCCACAAGAGCAATAGCCACACCACACAGAAAAATAGAAGGTAGAGGCCGCCCTTTCCCCTTGCCCGTCTCAAACATGGCTGCCGGAGCCTCGACGTACCTCATAGCGCTCTCCAGTAGTGCCCAGCATGCAACGGGGCAGCGTATGGCCTTCAGCAACATGGCAACCCCCATGCACCGGCTGATCGCTCGCAGACAGGCGTAAGTTGGGTGGGGGGCTGTTCGGGCTACGCTGGGTGGGGGCTCACGGTGGTGTTTCGACGTCATATTGGGCGGACTAGTTAGGCAGTTCTATGCTGACTCTGGCTGGAGTTTCGGGAGATTGGGGTGGGTGGGGATGTTATGGCATATTGGTGGCTGTGAATTGGTCTGGATGGAGCTCTACGATTAAAGGGGGTATGCGATCAGATCTGGCCGAGCTTAGCATTTCGTCCTGTACTGTGTGGTTTCAGTAAACGGCCCAGACAAACCACAACCAGCTATGACTGGATACTCTCCATACTTCCAGTGAGATATGGGGACAGCTTGGTATCTCATTATTTACTTCCCAAGTACAGCATTCTGACATGAGAAGAAAAGGAGCAGGATGAATAGAGACAGTGTAATATCACCCAGTGACAAGTTATTTGTTTCTTTAAAACTAAAATATATGAAAGATATACATATAGTATGCGTATAAATTAAACTCCCCATTATATGACATCCACGGGGATTGGTAGATTCTGGATACATTTAGTTTCTGGTTGCTTGACTTCCTATTAAGAATAGGTCTAACTAATGCCATACCCCATACTATACCATAACATAAACTCTGTATTGACTTCATATTAATATTGAAATGCTGTAATCCAAAGCAAATTAAGACAAATAGGCACACAATAGTTTCCAGGATAATACATGTTGCAGAACAGTAAATACACAGGGGATTTTTTTTCTGGTTAGTTGAATACTGGATAACAGAGAGTTTACTGTGTATAACACCAAGATCATAAGTTTGCAAATTGTGATGATGTTACAGCGAGAACAACCGTGACATCACAGCTGATGAATGTCATTAAAGACATTGTAAAGTCCCAGCATATACTATCCTGTTGTATGAAAGCTATACATATATGTATATATAAAATCATCACTAAGACAAAGAGCACAAGTCCACTAATTGTGATCATACCGCAGAGGGAGAACATCAGGTATAGAAACTGATGAATGCCATTAGAGGAACTTCTCTCTAATCAAGTCTGTATTCTGTGTCCCCAATATCCCAACTGTTTATGTTCTCTGTGTTCTGGAGGATTAGAATGGTAAAATCGCTGTTCTTAGAGCTCCATTTCAAGCTTGTAATCCAGGGATGGCAAACTGCCAGTGGCAAGATTCCGCAGATGGCAGCTGAATGTACATAGAGCGGGTAGTGGGCTGGTGAAATAGCCAATAGCAGGCTGGCTATTGCACCCACCCACTGCTTGCTGTGGCCTCCTCCCAGCATGGAGGAGAGAGCGAGGGAATCCAAGCAACTAATATGAGAACAATAATGAGAATAGTTGAGAACTATTTTCATTATCGATTATTATTGATTAGTTGGTTGCAGCCCTACTTCAGACCCTGGGTACTTTTGAACTGGTCTGGGACGGTGGCTGGATACTCCTGACCCTGGGTACTTTTTAAACTGGTCTGGGAGAGTGGCTGGATACACCCTGACCTAGGTATTTTGAACTGGTTTGGACAGTGGCTAGATAACCCCCTGACCTAGGTATTTTGAACTGGTCTGGGACGGTGGCTAGATACCCCTGACCTAGGTACTTTTGACCTGGCCTGGGACGGTGGCTAGATACCCCTGGCCTGGGACGGTGGCTAGATACCCCTGACCTAGGTACTTTTGACCTGGCCTGGGATGGTGGCTGGATAACCTTGACCTAGGTACTTTTGTAATGGTCTGGGACAGTGGCTGAATACCTCCTGACCTAGGTACTTTTCAACTGGTCTGGGACGGTGGCTGGATACCCCTGACCTGGGTATATATGAACTGGCCTGGGATGGTAGCTCAGGGGTGTGGAAATTTACATTTTTGTCCAAGGTCTAAAGCGAGGGCCCGATCAACTTGTGCCTCATGACGTTCTACTTGTCCTGATACAAAAAAATATTTTAACCAAAACAGTATTTAGCAGTGCAAAGAAGTGCTTCCCAACAAGTGCTTGCATTTTGCAAAATTCAGAATACATGGCACAGGGCTGCAATAGACAGCAGTAGGGCTACAGATAGTACACCTGTACTGGCGAATGGGAAGGACCATTCCCTGAAAGGTAAGTATAGCATGGAGGGAGAGGGGGCCAGATTGTAGCGGGTAATTCCATTTTCCCAAATTACTTTAATGCACATTGTGCGTGTTAGAGAGCGCTGCTGTCCAGCTACCACACTATGGCACACAGTGGAATGAGGGCAGCACATGCACAATGCCCTACGCATGCGTTTTTTTTCTAATGCAGATGGTGGAGTTAGCGGGGCTGGTTTTAATATTATTTTCATTTACTGTATTTTTCAATTTTTTTGTACAATTTATATTTATCTTATTTTATTTTTAATGTATTATTTTTTACTTCATCACCTTTATTTTTTTATTTCCATTTTTAATTGTGTTGTTTTTTACTTTATTTAAAAAAAAAAAATTTAAATTTAAAAATTTTCCTTTTTTTTTTTGCACTTAACTTTATTGCTATCACACAGGGGCTAACATGCCCCTGTTTAATAGAATTTGAAGGTGACAGGTTCTCTTTATTGAACCTGTCGCCTCCAATACGTTCTCCTGTGACAGAAAGGCTGAGAGTGCAGCATTCCTATGTCAGTGCTCATGCAGAAAATTGATGTTCTCCACTCTGCTCCCTACTCTCCATCCTGATCTAATTGGCTGTGGCCCCAGGTCCCCCAGAACAGTGGGGGCCCCCAAAAACCACAGCGGGGAGAGAGGCAGAGGGTGGTGACAGATGGTGGGCAAGGAGAGAAGCAGTGGCTAGTGTTCTGTCAAAAACTCCAATTTCTAGAGCGGTGGTGTTCAGGGAGGGACAGGCCATGCAGGGGGGGAGCATGGAAGTGACAATAGGGCTGCTTACAAGTTATCATGGACGGCTGTACAGCTGCTCAAGATCACTTGTACAAAACGGCTCCCACACTACATTTAGCCCTGCTTGCCCGAAGCAGGGCTAAATGTAGAGGAAAACTACTTGCCCAGCACCCGGAACTGCATGTCCCGGGCGTCGGGCGATAAAAATTCCACACCCCTGGGGCTGGATAACACCTGACCTGGGTACTTTTGAACTGGTGTAGGACGCTGGCTGGATATCCCTGACCTAGGTACTTTTGTACTGGTGTAGGGCAGTGGCTGGGTATCCCTGACCTATGTACTTTTAAACTGGTCTGGGACGGGGGCTGGATAGCCCTGACCTAGCTACTTTTGTACTGGTCTGGGATGGGGGCTGGATACCCCTGCCCTAGGTACTTTTGTACTGGTGTAGGACAGTGGCTGGATACCCCTGACCTAGGTACTTTTGAACTGGTCTGGGCGGGTGGCTGGATACCCCTGACCTAGGTACTTTTGACTGGTGTAGAACAGTGGCTGGATATCCCTGACCTATGTACTTTTGAACTGGTCTGGAACGATGGCTGTATGCCCTGACCAAGGGTACTTTTGAACTGGTCTGGGAGGGTGGCAGGATACCCCTGACCTATGTACTTTTTAGCTGGTCTGGAACAGTGTGTGAATACCCCTGACCCAGGGTACTTTTAAACTGACCTGAGAGGGTGACTGGATAACCCCTGGCCTAGGTACTTTTGAACTGGCCTGGAAAGGTGGCTGGATACCCCTGAGGTGATTTCTATGTGTCTTTGCAGTGACTGGTGTTGATGAGGTACAGAAAAACGCCAAATCATCGCACATAGTGTGAATGAGCCCTGAATTTGCTAAATACATTCCAGGTACATCAAAACCAAATATGTGTAAAAATCTTACTAAGCTTTATATATACTTAAGGTGTTTGTAGAAATTACATCTCCCTAATTTAAAGAGGTACCCACCTGTTGGTGTCAGTGCCACTAATACTCATTGTTATTTAAATCCATTGTACATGAGCTCTACACAAATTCCTTTGTGTATTACATTCTATGCTGGTTAGGATAATGTAAAAAGTCAGAGTCCTACCTAGTTGGAGTCCACAGCCATGACCTCCATACTAGACATACTACCCTCAATGTAATATGCACTCAGAGCCATTTTTTAAATGGAGAGCCCATATTACTTGCTGGTTTCCAATGGACACCACTGTATTGCTTCACACTGCGGCCTGCATTTTAAGTCCTCACTGCCCACTGTAGTGAGAATTCTGTGATTGTAGGAATAGCCGGCATATTACTTTTTTTACTGCTCATGTAAGGCTTCATTTCCACCTGCATAGTAGGAACAGGAACCCGAAATATGCCAATTATAAGCGGAAACTGTCACCTGTTCAAGTTAATGATTGGGTGACAGTGGCTTCATTTGAAAGCAGCAGTCTGCCGCCACTCTGCATGTAATCATTTGTGATATGATTACATGCAGTTAGGAATAGATCACTGTCCTTGGACTTATCGGTCGTCCTCTTTATGGAGACATCAGGGGTCTATTAGACCCCAATGGAACCCAAAGAATGTTGACCAAGCACAGATCGTGCTTCATCAGCTTCTTCACCAGCCACAGGAGCCAGAGAGATGACACACTGAAAGCGAAAATGATGTAATACACATTGCTTCTGCAATGATCGGAGAGGAGACCAGCTGCTGGAATTGTGCTTTGTGCTGATCTCCCTCTGATCAAGGTACACAGACCCACCGTGCTGGTCCCAGGCCCACACAGGGGACAGCGGAACCCGGGATGGGCACACACTCCCTAGCACCACACAAGCGATTGGACATCTCTATAGCTGCCCGAATGCTTCTATATGACAGCCATAGTTGTGTTTCTACCAAATAGTTCTATTTTGGTTTCATCTGACCATATGACATTCTCCCAATCCTCTTCTGGATCATCCAAATGCTCTCTAGCAAACTTCAGACGGGCCCGGACATGTACTGGCTTGAACAGGGGGACACGTCTGGCACTGCAGGATCTGAGTCCCTGGCGGCATAGTGTTTTACTGATGGTAGCCTTTGTTACGTTGGTCCCAGCTCTCTGCAGGTCAATCACTAGGTTCCCCCCGTGGTGAGATCCCCACGGGGTGAGATTTTGCGTGGAGCCCCAGATCGAGCGAGATTATCAGTGGTCTTGTATGTCTTCCATTTTCTAATTATTGCTCCCACAGTTGATTTGTTCACACCAAGCGGCTTGCCTATTGCAGATTCAGTCTTCCCAGCCTGGTGCAGGTCTACAATTTTGTTTCTGGTGTCCTTCGACAGCTCTTTGGTCTTCACCATAGTGGAGTTTGGAGTGTGACTGTTTGAGGTTGTGGACAGGTGTCTTTTATACTGATAACAAGTTCAAACAGGTGCCATTGATACAGGTAATGAGTGCAGGACAGAGGAGCCTCTTAAAGAAGAAGGTACAGGTCTGTGAGAGCCAGAACTCTTGCTTGTTTGTAGGTGACCAAATACTTATTTTCCACCATAATTTGCAAATAAATTTGTTCCAAATCAGCCGATGTGATTTGTCTGGATTTGTTTTCTCATTTTGTCTCTCATAGTTGAGGTCTACCTATGATGCCAATTACAGGCCTCTCATCTTTTTAAGTGGGAGAACTTGCACAATTGGTGGCTGACTAAATACTTTTTTGCCCCACTGTATATAATCGGCCCTGAAGCGGTAAAAGCAGAACTATGGCCTCTACTTTAATAAATATATTTTCTTAATTATAAGGGCATCTGCGAGTTTTCTCTTAGTGCCCCTGCAAAGTCCCACAAATACCTGTTGAGCCTGCCAGTGAAGCCCACTTAAGGCAGTTTCCTGTGATGAGGTGGTAACAGTGCTGCACTGTTCTGAATTCAGAGCACTTTCATGTAGGCTGTACCTGCTTGCACTACAATGGGATGAAAGGATGTTTCAGGGGGCGGGGCTATCAGCATTGCCACTGCTGGTTCTCATGCCTGTAGTTTGTCAGTCCGCACCTGACCACACTTAGTCCTGTCGTCTGCTTTCTGGATTGACAGCACTTCCTCTGTTGCTGAAACCCTCCTCCCATTGTGAACTGCAGTGTCTAGAAGGGGAGCATGTGAGATACAAATGAAAAAGGATATGGCTCAGTTAGGGGCGGTATAGGGAGATATTGTTTCCTTTGAGGTTTCTGGATCACATAGTAACTGGTTACTTTTTTTAAACTGTCAAACAGGAGCCTTTTTTATGCAGGTCAAAGGTCACACCTCTGATCTGTACCTGAATGAAACAAAGTAAATACAATGTAACAATATTGTTGTTGCATCATATTTCTCAATGAAGCTTCCAGACACTGTGATACAAAGCATGTCCCGGGTAGTGGGTTTTTTTGGGGCAGCATTTGGGGACCTTCGACCGCTGAAGGGACCAGTCTAAGAGCAATCCGGCTCAGAGGATAGGGTGAGTATATTTTTGTGTCTAGACTGCTTTAAAAGATTTCTGGAACTTTTAAGATACATGGACCCTATGAAAAGAATTCATGTATACACAGGCACTGGGACATGCTAGCCTTAGCCTTGTGCCCCTGGTTTTGATAGAGGTTTTAACACAAAGGTTTGCTTTAGGCCTTGTTCACACCAAATGCAGAGCAGATCCGGTCAGGTTTCTGCAAACGCAGTGCAGTGGGTTGTGCCGCGTTTTTGATGCATTTTGCCGCGTTTTAATGCGTGGGGTTTTTTTTAAGTTTAACATGGGCTTTCAGGCACTTGCATGCGTTTTTGATGCGTTCCAGAGCAGGTAAAATAGGGCTTGCCGCAGTTTTTTCACCTGCTCTGGATCTGCACGCTGCGATGTGAACTGGAGCTCAAAATACAATAGGAATACATTGGACGCAGTTTTGATCCGGTCTGCACCTGCTCTGCTCTGGATCTGCTCCGCGCTTGGTGTGAACAAGCCCTTAAATGTGCATTTGGAGTTCTAAATAAAAAAATGTGTGCCCATAAAGCTTTATCAGAAAATTCAGTGTTCAATATGGTATTAATCTGTGCTGTCTGCTTGTACCCTAGTGAAGCAAATAAACAGAATGTACGTTGTCAGAAGTGCCTAGAGATTGGCCATTGGAGCTATGAATGTACTGGGAAAAGAAAATATCTGTACCGGCCCTCCAGGACAGCTGAGCTAAAGAGGACCCTAAAAGACAAAGATGCCAGAATGCTTTTAGGTCAAAGGTAAACATTTCCTTTAGACTTTGCATGTATTTTGCAGAAATGGCATGTTCACAGTTTTACTATTGGTCTAGTGGTATCGGATACTATTTCATTTTGGAAAGCTGCTGGTTAGGTTTTATTCTCTATTTATGTATTGGTTGTGATAGAAACATTGGACTTCTTGCAGTCTCAGGCCCGGTGCAGACCTCCGCAATCCGGGACCGCGTGGTCCTGCACAATGCAGGCAGCGATGGCCGCGCAGCCCCATTGATTTCAACGGGGCGCCATCCGCGTTGCAATCGCAGAAGAAAAAAGGTACGTGTACCTTTTTTTGTGCGATACACGACACGCGGCTGTTTTAGCTGCGATCATGTTCGAAAGCACGGGCAGAATCGCGGCGCAAAACCGTGGGATCGCCCGGCGCGACTGTGGTGCCATTAGAAAATAATGGCACCCACAGCGCGATCGGTTCACACCTTGGCGACTCCTGACTGCGTGATCGTGCACGATTGCTACACGGTGAGGTGTCGCCTAGGTGTGCACCGGCCCTTAGAGCTGTGAGAGTCCTTTGCACACTCTCTCACCTCCTTCGCATAAAGTAATGTCTATTAACCGCTTGCCGTCCACCCATTATATATAAATAGATGGACAGCTCGCTCTTGTCAGCAGGTTGCTGTAAATAAATGTTTTTGGGGTTTTTTTTACGGCAAGCACGAGCAGGACAATGTGAAAAATGTGTCGCACCTGGAGATGGTTGTTTCCATGGAGCGGGGCCGACTAGCAAGATACTGAAGCTTGCGGGAGATTCCTCCATCCACACAGCTTAGCGTAGATGGGGGAATCTGTTGCACTTTTTTCATCTGAGCATAGAAAATCTGCAGATAATTTGTAAGGTGTGTGGCCAGCTTTAATCACTGTTGACACTAAATTGATGAGCAGTAAAAGTTTTAAAGCGTCGCCTATGGCCAATTTTTGGTATTGCCCTTTTTTTTTTTGCAATTTTAAGGCTTGTCATGTTTGGCATCTATTTACCCGACATGACCCATTCTTTTAAATATTACCACAAATTTGGGTAATAATAAATGTTTTATAACATAGGGAAAACACCCCCCCCAATATTTTAACTTTTTAAAAAATATATAAAAAAATGTCAAAACCCCAGTGGTTATTACCACCAAAAGAACCTCCATCTGTCCCAAAAAAATGATATAAAATTAATGTCAAAGTACTGCAGCGCGGAAAAAAACTGCCTGAACAGGAAGGGGGTTTAACACCCTGGTGTACAAGTGGTTAATATCCATCAATGAAGCCAACCAGTGCCAGAGATATTTCTCACCCACTGTCATTTTATAATTACATTTAAAAAAAATATGAAAAGGTAAAACCCTTCCTATTTTTTATAGTGTAAGGAAAGGTTAAGCTTTTGTCAATTTTATTGTTGTCTGTGTTCCTTCTGGGGAGCTTCATCCCTCTCTATTTGTCCTCATCACCGAGACAAAGTGTGGTAGAATCCTTACAATGGGCACGCCTGTTGCGGTGACACTGTATAAGAAGGGAACACCCCTCATTTTGAAGAGATTTCCTCTCCCTTCATTCTGTGTTCCTGTTGTGAAATCTCCTTAAAGGAGAACTATGAGGTGAGTGCTTTTCACATGCCGGTGTTCGCTCACTTCTCGATCCTGTCACGGCTCTCTGCCGTGTCAGGGGAGGGGATGGATTCCCCCCTCCCCGCTCCGATCCACCAGCGCTGACTGGCGGAACGGGGAGGGGGCGGGTACAGCTGGCACTGCCTCTAGATAGGCAGAGCCAGCTGTCACTCACGCAGCTGGGCGGATCTCGACATCGATGTCGGGATCCGCTGCGGCGTCTCAGTATACCGCGAGCTGTAGCTCGTGGTATACTGAGCTTAGGGTGACGGGAGGACGCTAGTTTGTGTCCTCCCGTTACCCTAAGGAGAACTATGGGGAAAAGCCCTGACCCCATAGTTCTCCTTTAATGGGACACCGACAGCTAAAAAATTAACACAGGGTTTTTTGGTATCGAGTAATGACTAGCAAGATACTGAAGCTTGCGGGAGATTCCTCCATCCACACAGCTTAGCGTAGATGGGGGAATCTGTTGCACTTTTTTCATCTGAGCATAGAAAATCTGCAGATAATTTGTAAGGTGTGTGGCCAGCTTTAATCACTGTTGACACTAAATTGATGAGCAGTAAAAGTTTTAAAGCGTCGCCTATGGCCAGTTTTGGGTATTGCCCTTTTTTTTTTTGCAATTTTAAGGCTTGTCATGTTTGGCATCTATTTACCCGACATGACCCATTCTTTTAAATATTACCACAAATTTGGGTAATAATAAATGTTTTATAACATAGGGAAAACACCCCCCCCAATATTTTAACTTTTTAAAAAATATATAAAAAAATGTCAAAACCCCAGTGGTTATTACCACCAAAAGAACCTCCATCTGTCCCAAAAAAATGATATAAAATTAATGTCAAAGTACTGCAGCGCGGAAAAAAACTGCCTGAACAGGAAGGGGGTTTAACACCCTGGTGTACAAGTGGTTAATATCCATCAATGAAGCCAACCAGTGCCAGAGATATTTCTCACCCACTGTCATTTTATAATTACATTTAAAAAAAATATGAAAAGGTAAAACCCTTCCTATTTTTTATAGTGTAAGGAAAGGTTAAGCTTTTGTCAATTTTATTGTTGTCTGTGTTCCTTCTGGGGAGCTTCATCCCTCTCTATTTGTCCTCATCACCGAGACAAAGTGTGGTAGAATCCTTACAATGGGCACGCCTGTTGCGGTGACACTGTATAAGAAGGGAACACCCCTCATTTTGAAGAGATTTCCTCTCCCTTCATTCTGTGTTCCTGTTGTGAAATCTCCTTAAAGGAGAACTATGAGGTGAGTGCTTTTCACATGCCGGTGTTCGCTCACTTCTCGATCCTGTCACGGCTCTCTGCCGTGTCAGGGGAGGGGATGGATTCCCCCCTCCCCGCTCCGATCCACCAGCGCTGACTGGCGGAACGGGGAGGGGGCGGGTACAGCTGGCACTGCCTCTAGATAGGCAGAGCCAGCTGTCACTCACGCAGCTGGGCGGATCTCGACATCGATGTCGGGATCCGCTGCGGCGTCTCAGTATACCGCGAGCTGTAGCTCGTGGTATACTGAGCTTAGGGTGACGGGAGGACGCTAGTTTGTGTCCTCCCGTTACCCTAAGGAGAACTATGGGGAAAAGCCCTGACCCCATAGTTCTCCTTTAATGGGACACCGACAGCTAAAAAATTAACACAGGGTTTTTTGGTATCGAGTAAGAGTACCGATATATTTTTTTACTGTAGTCGCCAATACCAATACCGGAAGTCCCATTTAGGAAGCCACGCGGTCTGTAATGACTCGTCGGGAAGCATGGAGCCAGCTTTCTGGCCAATCAGGAAGCCGGGCGGCGAGTTTTTACACACTGCCTCACTTCCTGATTGGCCAGCTCCATGCAACCTTGTCACTAGGTGATAAGGTAGCATGGAGCCGACTTTTTGGCCAATCAGGAAGCCAGGCAGCATGTAATGACTCGTCGCCCGGCTTTCTGATACCAGAACCTGACAGAGCTTCTAACTCTTCCCCACTGTTAAAGGAAGGATTCAAAGAAGATGGAGCTGTCCTTTAATATGTGATCAAAAATGTGTGTGGCTGTGGGGGTTTTTTTTCTATAGTTTTTAAAGTGTTTTTCTAGCTTCCCATATGTGTCAGTCACCAAACTTATTTCCTGTTAGCTGCGGCAACTGGCAGTGATTGAGGAGCATTAATAGAGAACTGGGTGGGCATTACTGTCTCGAGAAACACGTGCAAACAGTAATGGGATAGGTTCATGCTGTTGGAGTGTGTCAACGCATGGGCTGCCCAATGTATCAAAACACAGCAGAAAATGTGTGTACTGTTTTTTTGTAATCCAGCGCACCACATTGCATGGTAGTGCATTGCCGCAGGCAACAATGTGTCCCCGGCCCTTTGCGCCTGGTTACCTGCTAACTGTTGTGTGCTTGCATATCTAAGAATCTGCATCAGTGAAATGTTTGTTCTCTCTGTCAGTGTGGTCAATGTTTATGCCTGACATTATGCTGGCTATCATTTTTAGATTTAAAAAAATGTAGTATACTCTTATTACAAACTTGATATTTTCCGTTACTCAGATTTTTTTTCTTTTTCTCTTTTTGTTCTTGCAGTAGCAGCAACAATATTGCAGAAGCAAAGCTGAAAAAAAAAAGGTATGTCTCTTTGTACTTTCCATAAGACTTTTTTGTAGTTGTGTGAATTAGTTAAACATAGGCTATAAGGGAAAATGTAACCCCTTCCCGACCGATTACGGGATTATCCCGTCATGCAGTACAATGAGCGCTGGTCCGTGAAGGGACCAGTGCTCATTGAGTTACTGCTTTTGATAGGTTCCTTGGGGTCCGTGGCAGACCCTCAGTAGCAGATTAGGTGGTCACAGGCCTGTGATCACAGCGAGAGTTGATCGGCTTTGTCTTAGGGTGCCCACACACCTTACGATAATCGCGGGAAATCCCGCGATTGTACTATTATCGTAAGGTGTGTGGAAGCCGTGCAACCTCTACTACTGTAAGGTCGCACGACTTTTAACTTATGAACATGTTCGAAAACCCGCCGAGCATCGTACAATGTTCGGCGGGTGTGTAGCATGTTCGTAAGATAAAAGCCGGACGGGCCGGGGGACGCAAGCACACCGTTCGGCATTGCGGTCAAGTCTTGCGATGGTTGTAAGGTATGTGCCCAGCATTACAGAAGTGATACTTAGTATCTTTGAGTAGAAAAAGTATTCTCAGACATACAAAATATCTATACTATACTAAATATCAAAGCCCCTGTAAAAAAAAATAAAAATAAATGCCCCTTAGTGCCCCCTAGTTAAAAGAGAAATAAATACAATTTAAAAAAAAAAAAAGTTGTAAACATTTTTTTACATTTAAAAAAAAAAGGGGGGGAAAAAGGCAAAGTTTTAAAAATATGTTTATATTTAGTTATAAGGAAATATAATGCCAAGGAGGCTATTAAAGATAGGAGACAAATATACCACATTCCAAAATTGTTCCACACTATAATTGTATTTCACTGTTTTGTAATCTATAACTCCCCAAATAAACTGGAATCCCAGACATATGATATATCCTATAAATCAGGACAAAACTTTGTTAGCTACACTAATTATGTACATATTGCAATTGCCAAAACTGTGAAAAATGTGTTTGTTTAATTTTTGTTTGCATTTTTTTATTTAAAAAAAAGAGGAATTTATATATGCATAAAGTATGCCGCATCAAATTAAAGCGCATTTTGTCCTTTAAAAATGGTATATAATATGTGTAGGTGCAATGAATGAGGAAGATTGAAATTTTGGTTAAACAAACAAATAGCAAAAATTGAAAAATTGCTCTGGTCTCCAGAAGAACGTTAATGGAAGGCCTACACATACTATAAGATTATAGCTTATTTATAACGTGTGGTTATAAATATGTGGATAAAAGAATTAGGTCAAGGCTATGGCCCTTGGCTTTTTTTTGTGCAGCAAACTGTATTGAAGTTATATCTGTAAAAAATACATCAAGGCAACTGGACTTGCTGTATATTTCTTGAAGACATTTCACTGGTAATCTGACTAGCTTTCTCAATTCAGAATGACTTGTATAAAAAACTCTCTAGGAATGATATGGTAAATGTTGCTCCAATCCACATAAGCTGTTAATCATAATCAGCATGGGGTCCGAGACCTCATGGAGGTAATTTGTTGATTGCATTTGCATGATTGGAGCTAGCAGGTGTTATTAAGCTGCCCAGAGAGAGGTGTTAAAACAACATTGTATGTGACAGACAATAGATGTCGTTCCCCCTTTCTCGCCTGCCTCTATTCAAGTACGGCTTCTCCATTTTTCATAATTAACACATTTATTCCAAGATCATTTTTGTACAAGTCATTCTGAATTTAGAAAGCTCGTTGGATGACCAGCGAAACGTCCAGTTGCCTTGATTTATTTTTGCAGATATGCCATGACCTGTATGTATGAGATCCTTCACAGACAGTATAGACGTTGTTCTGCTGGTTGTGGCCAGTGATTTTGTGCAAACTGTCTTTAGCCAATGTCTAAAAAGTTTATTCTCAAATTCATGACCACCTGACTAGAAAAGCTAGAACCTCGGTACGTAAACAGTGGCTGCTGTCATAGGCTGCCTTCCCCTGCATGAAACCACACACAAATCTCCTGTTTTACATAAAGCAAAGCTAGAGTCCTTGGACGTATCTGCTCTTTCATCCACCCCTGTAATACCACTTATCCTTCAAGGAAAAATGCTTGCACTATATTTGCTTGGTATCCACTCCGACTGCAGGTTGTTGCTGTAGCTTGAGAGTTGGCCATACACTAGTAGATTTTCAAAAGAACTTTCGTAACAAAAGATTATTAGTTCGACCTTCTATTAGTTGATGGGGTCAAATCAATCATCGATTTTGACCATAATGAACAGTTGAAGGAGCAGAATGGAAATTTTTCCTCGAACAAATAAAATTCTAACAGTGAATGTGATTTTCGCTCGGGCAACTCTATTCATTCCAAAATCGAATGTTAAAATAAAACAAAATTTTGTTCGACATTCGTCAAGTCTCTGATGGCATAATCGGGTGGTAAAGAAAGATCTTTAGTTCGGAAATCTACTAGTGTATGGCCAGCTTTACATATAAACTGTGGTTGTCCAGGAACTGTGTTAAAGCAGAGCTTTTGATTCTGGTTAGGTTGACAGCCAATCACAGGCTTTTCCTGAACAGAAATCCTGGATGATGGCGGCATTTATGTGACTCGGATCTAAGACCAGCAGTCGGCCCAAGTCTAGATTGGGTGTTTTCTAGATTGCATGGGTGACTGATAAAAAAAAAAAAAAAAAACAAGATCTGCTGTGCCAAGTGAGCAACCCCCTGTGTATTTAGAGCAGAGGGGAAGCCACTTAGCACACCACCATACAGGACCTGGAAGATCGCAGAGCTTTACAGGATCCCTAGCAGTCTGTCAGGTATGGCATAAGCATACTTACATTGGCCAGTGTAAGTATGCATAATAATTTATAACAGGCTTCATCTTTAAAGTGTTTCTATAGGCAAAACATTTTTTTTTGAAGTTTAGCAAAGAGCAAAGAAGGATTAAAGCCCCTGTCAGTTTAATTTTTGTTGTCTGTGTACCTCTGGGCAAATTTCAGTTCACGTCCTGTCCCAGAGATGCCACAGGAAGTTAGAGGAAAGTGAAGAGAATTCCACTCTTTGATAGTTGTTCCCACAAAAGGTTTCCCCATTGTAAGATTTCTCCTTACCTTTGGTTCAGGGGACAACTCTTAAAATTTTGCACTTCCCTTTAACTTCTTTTCTGGGGTGACAATGGTCACCGGTATAATTAAAGCAGCGAATTTCCTGGATAGAGACGCAGACAGAATAAAAAACTTGACGGGAGTCCAACTTTACTTACACTTTTAAAGAACATTACCCTAGTGAAGCAAATAAACAGAATGTACGTTGTCAGAAGTGCCTAGAGATTGGCCATTGGAGCTATGAATGTACTGGGAAAAGAAAATATCTGTACCGGCCCTCCAGGACAGCTGAGCTAAAGAGGACCCTAAAAGACAAAGATGCCAGAATGCTTTTAGGTCAAAGGTAAACATTTCCTTTAGACTTTGCATGTATTTTGCAGAAATGGCATGTTCACAGTTTTACTATTGGTCTAGTGGTATCGGATACTATTTCATTTTGGAAAGCTGCTGGTTAGGTTTTATTCTCTATTTATGTATTGGTTGTGATAGAAACATTGGACTTCTTGCAGTCTCAGGCCCGGTGCAGACCTCCGCAATCCGGGACCGCGTGGTCCTGCACAATGCAGGCAGCGATGGCCGCGCAGCCCCATTGATTTCAACGGGGCGCCATCCGCGTTGCAATCGCAGAAGAAAAAAGGTACGTGTACCTTTTTTTGTGCGATACACGACACGCGGCTGTTTTAGCTGCGATCATGTTCGAAAGCACGGGCAGAATCGCGGCGCAAAACCGTGGGATCGCCCGGCGCGACTGTGGTGCCATTAGAAAATAATGGCACCCACAGCGCGATCGGTTCACACCTTGGCGACTCCTGACTGCGTGATCGTGCACGATTGCTACACGGTGAGGTGTCGCCTAGGTGTGCACCGGCCCTTAGAGCTGTGAGAGTCCTTTGCACACTCTCTCACCTCCTTCGCATAAAGTAATGTCTATTAACCGCTTGCCGTCCACCCATTATATATAAATAGATGGACAGCTCGCTCTTGTCAGCAGGTTGCTGTAAATAAATGTTTTTGGGGTTTTTTTTACGGCAAGCACGAGCAGGACAATGTGAAAAATGTGTCGCACCTGGAGATGGTTGTTTCCATGGAGCGGGGCCGACTAGCAAGATACTGAAGCTTGCGGGAGATTCCTCCATCCACACAGCTTAGCGTAGATGGGGGAATCTGTTGCACTTTTTTCATCTGAGCATAGAAAATCTGCAGATAATTTGTAAGGTGTGTGGCCAGCTTTAATCACTGTTGACACTAAATTGATGAGCAGTAAAAGTTTTAAAGCGTCGCCTATGGCCAGTTTTGGGTATTGCCCTTTTTTTTTTTGCAATTTTAAGGCTTGTCATGTTTGGCATCTATTTACCCGACATGACCCATTCTTTTAAATATTACCACAAATTTGGGTAATAATAAATGTTTTATAACATAGGGAAAACACCCCCCCCAATATTTTAACTTTTTAAAAAATATATAAAAAAATGTCAAAACCCCAGTGGTTATTACCACCAAAAGAACCTCCATCTGTCCCAAAAAAATGATATAAAATTAATGTCAAAGTACTGCAGCGCGGAAAAAAACTGCCTGAACAGGAAGGGGGTTTAACACCCTGGTGTACAAGTGGTTAATATCCATCAATGAAGCCAACCAGTGCCAGAGATATTTCTCACCCACTGTCATTTTATAATTACATTTAAAAAAAATATGAAAAGGTAAAACCCTTCCTATTTTTTATAGTGTAAGGAAAGGTTAAGCTTTTGTCAATTTTATTGTTGTCTGTGTTCCTTCTGGGGAGCTTCATCCCTCTCTATTTGTCCTCATCACCGAGACAAAGTGTGGTAGAATCCTTACAATGGGCACGCCTGTTGCGGTGACACTGTATAAGAAGGGAACACCCCTCATTTTGAAGAGATTTCCTCTCCCTTCATTCTGTGTTCCTGTTGTGAAATCTCCTTAAAGGAGAACTATGAGGTGAGTGCTTTTCACATGCCGGTGTTCGCTCACTTCTCGATCCTGTCACGGCTCTCTGCCGTGTCAGGGGAGGGGATGGATTCCCCCCTCCCCGCTCCGATCCACCAGCGCTGACTGGCGGAACGGGGAGGGGGCGGGTACAGCTGGCACTGCCTCTAGATAGGCAGAGCCAGCTGTCACTCACGCAGCTGGGCGGATCTCGACATCGATGTCGGGATCCGCTGCGGCGTCTCAGTATACCGCGAGCTGTAGCTCGTGGTATACTGAGCTTAGGGTGACGGGAGGACGCTAGTTTGTGTCCTCCCGTTACCCTAAGGAGAACTATGGGGAAAAGCCCTGACCCCATAGTTCTCCTTTAATGGGACACCGACAGCTAAAAAATTAACACAGGGTTTTTTGGTATCGAGTAAGAGTACCGATATATTTTTTTACTGTAGTCGCCAATACCAATACCGGAAGTCCCATTTAGGAAGCCACGCGGTCTGTAATGACTCGTCGGGAAGCATGGAGCCAGCTTTCTGGCCAATCAGGAAGCCGGGCGGCGAGTTTTTACACACTGCCTCACTTCCTGATTGGCCAGCTCCATGCAACCTTGTCACTAGGTGATAAGGTAGCATGGAGCCGACTTTTTGGCCAATCAGGAAGCCAGGCAGCATGTAATGACTCGTCGCCCGGCTTTCTGATACCAGAACCTGACAGAGCTTCTAACTCTTCCCCACTGTTAAAGGAAGGATTCAAAGAAGATGGAGCTGTCCTTTAATATGTGATCAAAAATGTGTGTGGCTGTGGGGGTTTTTTTTCTATAGTTTTTAAAGTGTTTTTCTAGCTTCCCATATGTGTCAGTCACCAAACTTATTTCCTGTTAGCTGCGGCAACTGGCAGTGATTGAGGAGCATTAATAGAGAACTGGGTGGGCATTACTGTCTCGAGAAACACGTGCAAACAGTAATGGGATAGGTTCATGCTGTTGGAGTGTGTCAACGCATGGGCTGCCCAATGTATCAAAACACAGCAGAAAATGTGTGTACTGTTTTTTTGTAATCCAGCGCACCACATTGCATGGTAGTGCATTGCCGCAGGCAACAATGTGTCCCCGGCCCTTTGCGCCTGGTTACCTGCTAACTGTTGTGTGCTTGCATATCTAAGAATCTGCATCAGTGAAATGTTTGTTCTCTCTGTCAGTGTGGTCAATGTTTATGCCTGACATTATGCTGGCTATCATTTTTAGATTTAAAAAAATGTAGTATACTCTTATTACAAACTTGATATTTTCCGTTACTCAGATTTTTTTTCTTTTTCTCTTTTTGTTCTTGCAGTAGCAGCAACAATATTGCAGAAGCAAAGCTGAAAAAAAAAAGGTATGTCTCTTTGTACTTTCCATAAGACTTTTTTGTAGTTGTGTGAATTAGTTAAACATAGGCTATAAGGGAAAATGTAACCCCTTCCCGACCGATTACGGGATTATCCCGTCATGCAGTACAATGAGCGCTGGTCCGTGAAGGGACCAGTGCTCATTGAGTTACTGCTTTTGATAGGTTCCTTGGGGTCCGTGGCAGACCCTCAGTAGCAGATTAGGTGGTCACAGGCCTGTGATCACAGCGAGAGTTGATCGGCTTTGTCTTAGGGTGCCCACACACCTTACGATAATCGCGGGAAATCCCGCGATTGTACTATTATCGTAAGGTGTGTGGAAGCCGTGCAACCTCTACTACTGTAAGGTCGCACGACTTTTAACTTATGAACATGTTCGAAAACCCGCCGAGCATCGTACAATGTTCGGCGGGTGTGTAGCATGTTCGTAAGATAAAAGCCGGACGGGCCGGGGGACGCAAGCACACCGTTCGGCATTGCGGTCAAGTCTTGCGATGGTTGTAAGGTATGTGCCCAGCATTACAGAAGTGATACTTAGTATCTTTGAGTAGAAAAAGTATTCTCAGACATACAAAATATCTATACTATACTAAATATCAAAGCCCCTGTAAAAAAAAATAAAAATAAATGCCCCTTAGTGCCCCCTAGTTAAAAGAGAAATAAATACAATTTAAAAAAAAAAAAAGTTGTAAACATTTTTTTACATTTAAAAAAAAAAGGGGGGGAAAAAGGCAAAGTTTTAAAAATATGTTTATATTTAGTTATAAGGAAATATAATGCCAAGGAGGCTATTAAAGATAGGAGACAAATATACCACATTCCAAAATTGTTCCACACTATAATTGTATTTCACTGTTTTGTAATCTATAACTCCCCAAATAAACTGGAATCCCAGACATATGATATATCCTATAAATCAGGACAAAACTTTGTTAGCTACACTAATTATGTACATATTGCAATTGCCAAAACTGTGAAAAATGTGTTTGTTTAATTTTTGTTTGCATTTTTTTATTTAAAAAAAAGAGGAATTTATATATGCATAAAGTATGCCGCATCAAATTAAAGCGCATTTTGTCCTTTAAAAATGGTATATAATATGTGTAGGTGCAATGAATGAGGAAGATTGAAATTTTGGTTAAACAAACAAATAGCAAAAATTGAAAAATTGCTCTGGTCTCCAGAAGAACGTTAATGGAAGGCCTACACATACTATAAGATTATAGCTTATTTATAACGTGTGGTTATAAATATGTGGATAAAAGAATTAGGTCAAGGCTATGGCCCTTGGCTTTTTTTTGTGCAGCAAACTGTATTGAAGTTATATCTGTAAAAAATACATCAAGGCAACTGGACTTGCTGTATATTTCTTGAAGACATTTCACTGGTAATCTGACTAGCTTTCTCAATTCAGAATGACTTGTATAAAAAACTCTCTAGGAATGATATGGTAAATGTTGCTCCAATCCACATAAGCTGTTAATCATAATCAGCATGGGGTCCGAGACCTCATGGAGGTAATTTGTTGATTGCATTTGCATGATTGGAGCTAGCAGGTGTTATTAAGCTGCCCAGAGAGAGGTGTTAAAACAACATTGTATGTGACAGACAATAGATGTCGTTCCCCCTTTCTCGCCTGCCTCTATTCAAGTACGGCTTCTCCATTTTTCATAATTAACACATTTATTCCAAGATCATTTTTGTACAAGTCATTCTGAATTTAGAAAGCTCGTTGGATGACCAGCGAAACGTCCAGTTGCCTTGATTTATTTTTGCAGATATGCCATGACCTGTATGTATGAGATCCTTCACAGACAGTATAGACGTTGTTCTGCTGGTTGTGGCCAGTGATTTTGTGCAAACTGTCTTTAGCCAATGTCTAAAAAGTTTATTCTCAAATTCATGACCACCTGACTAGAAAAGCTAGAACCTCGGTACGTAAACAGTGGCTGCTGTCATAGGCTGCCTTCCCCTGCATGAAACCACACACAAATCTCCTGTTTTACATAAAGCAAAGCTAGAGTCCTTGGACGTATCTGCTCTTTCATCCACCCCTGTAATACCACTTATCCTTCAAGGAAAAATGCTTGCACTATATTTGCTTGGTATCCACTCCGACTGCAGGTTGTTGCTGTAGCTTGAGAGTTGGCCATACACTAGTAGATTTTCAAAAGAACTTTCGTAACAAAAGATTATTAGTTCGACCTTCTATTAGTTGATGGGGTCAAATCAATCATCGATTTTGACCATAATGAACAGTTGAAGGAGCAGAATGGAAATTTTTCCTCGAACAAATAAAATTCTAACAGTGAATGTGATTTTCGCTCGGGCAACTCTATTCATTCCAAAATCGAATGTTAAAATAAAACAAAATTTTGTTCGACATTCGTCAAGTCTCTGATGGCATAATCGGGTGGTAAAGAAAGATCTTTAGTTCGGAAATCTACTAGTGTATGGCCAGCTTTACATATAAACTGTGGTTGTCCAGGAACTGTGTTAAAGCAGAGCTTTTGATTCTGGTTAGGTTGACAGCCAATCACAGGCTTTTCCTGAACAGAAATTACTAGGAATTCTTTGAATGGCTGCTGTGCCAAGTGAGCAACCCCCTGTGTATTTAGAGCAGAGGGGAAGCCACTTAGCACACCACCATACAGGACCTGGAAGATCGCAGAGCTTTACAGGATCCCTAGCAGTCTGTCAGGTATGGCATAAGCATACTTACATTGGCCAGTGTAAGTATGCATAATAATTTATAACAGGCTTCATCTTTAAAGTGTTTCTATAGGCAAAACATTTTTTTTTGAAGTTTAGCAAAGAGCAAAGAAGGATTAAAGCCCCTGTCAGTTTAATTTTTGTTGTCTGTGTACCTCTGGGCAAATTTCAGTTCACGTCCTGTCCCAGAGATGCCACAGGAAGTTAGAGGAAAGTGAAGAGAATTCCACTCTTTGATAGTTGTTCCCACAAAAGGTTTCCCCATTGTAAGATTTCTCCTTACCTTTGGTTCAGGGGACAACTCTTAAAATTTTGCACTTCCCTTTAACTTCTTTTCTGGGGTGACAATGGTCACCGGTATAATTAAAGCAGCGAATTTCCTGGATAGAGACGCAGACAGAATAAAAAACTTGACGGGAGTCCAACTTTACTTACACTTTTAAAGAACATTATGTGAGAAATCTGCTTTAACTGCACATATCTAGCTTAAGAAAATGTTTCATTGGATTACTTTTCTCCCACTTTTCAGGCCTAAAAGTGTAACAAGCTCCAGTAGTGAAAGCTCAAGCAGCAACAGCTCAGACAGTGACCCATCTTCAGACAGTGAGGACACCTCCAGCTCCTCTTCATCGTCAGAAGACAGCTCTTCCAGTTCTTCCTCTTCATCAGAGGACAGCTTCTCCGAGTCTGAATCAGAGTCTGAGTCGGATTCAGAAACTAGCAGTAGCAGTGATACAAGCTCCAGCAGCAGCAGTGAAGAAGACAGTAGCTCAGATGAGGAGCCACTTAGGAAGAAAAGAAAGCGTTAGAGACGGCAAAACATTTGTCTTAAAGCTTTTTCAAGACATCCACGTTGGAAGAACTTTGTTCTTGGAGTCTATACATTAAAGAAATGGCGAACTTGGTGTCCTACCCCGTACAAGTTGTCAATCCTTAGATTTTGGTACTGAATGTTAATTTCACATTAGAAACACTGCTTACACAATTTTACTTTTTTTCCTGCATTTTACTCTCTAGAAGGAATGGTGACAGTTTGTTTCCCAGTTTTCTATTGAAAGACCAAATATTTAACTTCCAAAAGAACACTCAGACATGATATTCTCTGTTCTCCATTTGCTCTGAAGGGTAACATAAAGGTCTTTTCCAGTTTAATCCAAAAGCATGCTTTCAGCTCTTGTGTGTGGCAGCCGGGAAGGTGTCTTGCACCAAAAGTTTGTTTGCCACGTGTGCCATCTGTGGATCAGAATACCAGTTAGGGGGTTGCACAATTTGGTTTTCGTTAGAGATCCACCCATACCGGTTTTTCAGTATCGAGTGCGAGTAGCGATATTACTCGCCAATACCGATAACAGAAGTCCCATTAAGGAAGCCGGGCGGCATGTAATGACTTGCCGCCCAGCTACCTGATTAACTGAGAAGCCGGGTGGCATGCAATGACTCGCCAGCCAGCTTCCCGATTTGACGGGAAGCCATCTCCATGCTCCCTCATCACCAAGTGACGAGGAAGCATGGAGCAGGCTTTCTGGCCAATCAGGAAACCGGGGCGGGTAATGACTCGCTGCCTGGCCTTTTGATTGGCCAGCTTCCCGACCAAACAGGAGGTTGGGCGGCCAGTCATTACACGCCTCCGGCTTTCTGATTGACCCGGAAGCCGGCTCCATGCTCCCTCGTCACCATGTGGTATCTGCACCGATACTGGTATCTGCACCAATACTAGTAACGTTATCGGTGCATCCCTAGTTTTCCGCATCCCAGATGATTAAATATGATTTCCATTCTGTTGGAAAATCACTTTTTTTTTTGTCAAGGGTACCCGTTTGCCAGACCAAGTGCAAACAGCTGAAGTGGTGCCAGCTGAAAAAGGGCTACATTAAGAAATGTTTTAATGCCATATGCTGCCAGATAGCCGTAAACCTCACTTTTTTTTTTCTCAGTTTAGCTGTGTAGCGTTGGGGTAACAATCACCAGAAGCAATTTGATACACTTGGAATATCTCTTTGTGACTGTTAATCATTCCCTTTTCTATGGAGCATCCATCAGCCACATAAGGAAGAAACTTATCTAGGGCCTTGGTAGTGCCGGAGTCATTTAAGGACAAGTAGACGTCTTAGCCTCTATCATTCTAATTGAGACATCTGTTTGTCTGCGGCCATAATTACAGCTAAAAAACTAAAAAAAAAATCATCTTTATTTGGGTTGTTCCTAATGCCCAACAAAAAGTAAATAACCACCACTCTGAGGCATGTTTAAAAAAAAAAATAACCCTGATCTTCGGTGCTCCACACAAATCCATCGATGCTTCGCCACTTCTCTGGGTTGAATGATTTAAACGTTTCATTCAACCCAATTAATGTGAGCCCAGGGCATCATGACCTCCTTCGCCATTTATCTTTCCCTGGCATTCACAGGAGAATGTTGCAGAGAGTGGTGCCAAGTAATTTTGTGGTTCCATTTCTACAGCATTAAAGATCTGTCCAGTGCCAGACCGGACCAATAACACCTGGATAGTAGTATAAAGATTTTTTTTTAAGGGTTCAGGGGTGCATCTGTGACGGAAGCGGACACATGGGGGTGGTGAGCCTGGAGTTGGTTTTTAAGGAGGTTTTGCATCCCGCTAAGATTAAGTTGGAAACCACTTTCAAGTATTCCTAAGAGGAGAACCTGTACGGTGTTATTTTATTCATACTACATAGTGTTTATTGCACTCTATAAAGAGACCAAAAAGGGAGAGCTGAATACCTCTGTTACCCTCATTGCCCAAATGTGAGCTTTTTCTTTTTGTACTTCTCAGTGCGTACTTTGTGCTTTGTTTTGAGCACAGTTTCTTGCATATCACACTACTTGGACAAATTATTTGGGAGCTTACAGCAAATCTGAAGCCAGTTTGATTTGTGTATAAGTTTGCTTTCAAGTCAGATTTCTTTCTGTAGCACAGTGCAGTGTGCTAGAAACTTTCCTGGGATAGCAGTGGGTAGAAGGTGAACGACTCGTTTCAATAGGCATTATGTAGTAATTAAGAGTGTGTTCATTTTATTATGTCCATAGATTGACTGTGCATATATAACAATGTGTAAAAGGTTTGCTCTCAAAGCTAATGAGTACTGTAACATAGCTTTGAGGATTATTTTTATAGAGGAGTATATAATGGAGGATTTATCTGAATAAACATTGGGTGATATCAGGGTGTATTCCTAAATGAGTGACCTATAGTGTTCTATTTTTATGACAAAAGAGAAAGGAATGATATGCGCCCATTTTTAACTGTGTTTTTTTTGGGGGGTGGATCCTATCATTACAGAAATACAGGGAGGGATTGCCTCTGTAGATCTTCTGAAATGCTAGTGGCTTCCCCGTCATGGTGGACCTTTTGGCTTCATTGGTTTGAGTATCTGACCCAGAACAAGTATTTGGAGTTCGGATGCTGTATGTTTATTCTTGGCACCTGAAATCAAAATGTATTGAAGACAAAGGCGCAGCCAACATTTGAGTGAATGCAGCTCCTGTATTTCTGCAATGATCTGTTTTTGTTAACATTTTATTGTGCAATTAATCAAATTGCAGAGCTGAATTGTATATCGAAAAAAAAAGTGCCATGTCTGTAAATAAGAAAGTTTGCGGCATCCCTGTGATACAGGCTTGTCCAGCACAATGAAGATTATTGTCACATTGTATCAATTTTTGGTTAATAAATGTATGATGTTTTGCTATTTATTATTATTATTTCTTAATTGTAAGCTGTGTGATGATATAAGCTATGGAGTCATAGGACTGCCCATAATAACCGTAATTTCTTTTTTTCTTTTTAGAAAGTTCTGTAAAAGAGCTATGGTCTCCCATACAAAAATGTGCTGCAGCAGTTAATTGCATCTGCACTTAGTTTTCTCTTTAGGGATGCACCAAAACCGTTTGTTCGCTAACGAGTAGCGATATTTTTCCCGGTACTCGCTGTTACCGAATACCGATACTGGAAGTCCCATTAAGGAAGCCAGGCGGCGAGTCATTGCATGCTTCCTGATTAACCAGGAAGGCGGCTCCATGCTCCCTCATCACCAGGTCACGAGGAAGCATGGAGCCGGTTTTCTGATCAATCAGGAAGTTGAGGGGCGGGTAATGACTCGCGACCCAGCTTCCTGATTGGCTAGCTTCCCAACCAGGTGTACTCTCCCAAATATTTGGTATCGGCACTGATACTAGTATCGGTGCATCCCTATTTTCTCTTATCCCCCCCTGAAAAGTCCCACGAATTCCTGTTGATCCTGCTAGTATTACAGTGGAATAAGAAAATCTTCCTGCTAGTGCTCGTATTACAGTGGAATAAGAAAATCTTCCTGCTAGTGCTCATATTACAGTGGAATAAGAAAATCTTCCTGTTAGTGCTCGTATTACAGTGGAAATAAGAAAATCTTCCTGCTAGTGCTCGTATTACAGTGGAAATAAGAAATTCTTCCTGCTAGTGCTCGTATTACAGTGCAAATAAGAAAATCTTCCTGCTAGTGCTCGTATTACAGTGGAAATAAGGAATTCTTCCTGCTAGTGCTCGTATTACAGTGGAATAAGAAAATCTTGCAGGGGACATGGCTATCATTGTCACAGCCAATTCACAAGCCTGTAGCTTGTCAATGAGCACCTGACAACGCCTAGTCCTGCCCACTGTTTTCTGGATTGACAGCACTGCCCCTGTTGCTGAAACGCTCCCACTGGGAGTTGCATTGTGTGGAGGGGGAGCATGTGAGACCCAAATGAAGAAGGTATTGGATCAGATGCATGACATCACATTGTATCTGGATTTGGCACTTGTTTAGACTGTCATTCTGGAGCCTCTGGTTTAGTTTAAAGCGTTAGTAAACCATCAGTGCAAATAAAAAATTTTGGGCGCTTTTTGACATAATATGCAAGTACGATCTGTATATTTGCACATAATGGCATACTTAACCAGCAAAGAGATCCCTTCCAGTGCTGCGATGCTCCTCTATGCTCCTCTTTACGACCGGTGCTTCTTTTGTACACACAAATGGAGCATTGCGTGACCATGCACAATAAAATTCTGGTTTGTGTATATCTAAAGCAGGAGTCTCAAAGTACCGGTCCCGGCCAGTGATCTTGTACAATGTGCCCTGCAGCTAATGTTCTGCATCTCTTTTGTATGCAGACTGCATAGCTAGATCTGGCTTTGCCGGCACTCTTGACAGCCTTCACTGAGGGAAGGATTAGTACCAGCCACAGATGCAGACCTTACTAATCAACCACTGGATCACCAAGGATTGTGCCTCCTCCCTGCAAAAATGTAAGCAGCTAAATGGGCTCTTTTTATTTTGTGTGTGTTAACCGTGAGGATGTGTTTTGTATTAGCGTGTGTGTTTTGTATTTTTCTGTGTGTGTATTAGGCCCCATTCACACTTGTAAGTTTAGATGCGATTGGGGTTTCCTGCAGCAGGAAATCCCTAATCTGCTGTTTATGAACGGCAGCTGTCACCCATTCGAGTTAATGATCAGGTGCCAGCCGCTGCATGTAAACGCCGGCACATGTGATATGATTATTTAACATTAACATACAGTTAGAAAACAATCACTCTTCCTGGATGCACGATCGATGCGTCCAGGGTAGGGCTGAAACAACTAATCGATAAAGTAGATAGTAATCGATAATTAAAATAATTGGCAATTATTTTAATTATCGATTTAATTGGTCAGTCATATAGTTGGGCTGCTTTCAGCTCCTCACACCCTTCCTCTCCCCACCTCACTTGCAAGCGTGTTAACAGCCTGGGCCGCCCCAGAGAAAAGTGTTGAGGAATCCCGTCAAACACATAGCTGAGCACGGACTGACAGTTCAAGCACTGCTTGAGTACCCGCAGCCTCCCTGCAGCCTACTCAGGGCGGGTACTGTAGTACCGTGTTTTTGGAGTCCCCGAAAACGCTTAACTGAGCGCAGACTGACCATTTGGGCACTGCTCAAGGACCCTCAGCCTCCTCCTCCTCTCCCAGCTGCTCATAGTAAACTGTGGAAGGGCTGCATAGTAATGCACAACCAGTGTAAGTATTGTGTTGCATGTGTTGTATGTGTACTGTGTGTGTGTGCAGTGAGTGCAGTCAGTGGCATAACAACTGGGGGAGGGCGAGATGGGGGCATGCCAGCTAGGCAGTGACCACAATTAAGCCTGTGAAGCCCCTAACACACTGCACGTG